AAAATGCCACACCTGGTCAGGTTTCTCCAGTTTGAGTCTTGTTGTCACTGGTTTTCTTTTGGTTAAAGCGGGGTACACACTACAAGATAATCGGGCCGATTTTGGGCCCGATTCCCCCCTTCCGACGAAAGTCAGCAAAGGACCGACCATCTGATGTTCCAAAGATCATCTTGCCAGATTCTCCTGTGGTGTGAGGTGTGTTAGGAGGGATTTTAACCTCCCAAATCTGCTCGGAAGACGATCGGGGGCCGCCCCGATTTGAAATCGTAAATATCAAACGTGTTCAAGTTAAATGGATGTCATGAATTCAGGACCAACTTGTTGATTTGTGGCAACAACACGAGTTATATACAACGTGTCCTGTAAAACAAACCACAATCCAACTGACAAGGAAGGCAGTTCACCAAAATGTTTACCGTGATGGATTAGCTTGGCCGTCATGTTTGTTTACTCTTAAATCGCGTCTGACCGTAAGATTACTCTGTCATAGTCGAGACTCTGGTTGTCGGGGGAATTAATCGGTTAGTGTGCGGGTGTTGAGTTGATCGTCTTGTTGCACACCACACTATGCGATCTGAACTGTTAATCGGTCATGATTGTTGTCATGTGTGGGGTCTCGCACTTTATCAAAATCGTTTAAGATTTTAAAAATCGTGCAGTGTGTACCAGGCTTTAGGGTGTTTGTCGAATATCTGCAAACAGTCTCAGAGAAATGTTGATGCACATCAATCAGAGGCTACACCGTAGAAATAATTTCACTTTAATTGTATTTTATTAAGAATATTTTCTACATTCATGTTTGCTCCATATAGCAGTAATAGAAACTGGTGCCTTTAGCATACACAATAAAACATGAAACTGGCGGATGAGGAAGTGGAAAGAAATGAACAAGAGGTATTTTTTTTCAAGCTTCCATTGAAAGATTCAAAAAGCATTTATTCAGTTGATTGTCCCTTAGCATCCCCTGTAATACGCTGTATGTATGCGGCGCCTCAGCTTACCTTTTATCACCAGTGAAGTGTAGTGCTTCCTGCTTTAAGAGGACAGATCCTGGATAATGGTGTGAAATGACGTCTATTATAAACAAACATTTTCATAGAGCGAGTATTTCAATGTGAGGATGTAATGTTTGCTCAGCCCATAACAGTTTTTTTTTTCTAACATTGTCATAGAGATAGATAGATAGATAGATAGATACTTTATTGATCCTGAGGGAAATTCAAACATTCAAAATAAAGATATGTTATTAATTCAAACCCACCAGTGTAAAAAAAAGGTAGTATTTAAGTACAAAGTGATTGTCAATTTATCAAAAGTACAACACAAGTGCTTGAAATAAAGATTTCCACAAACATTTTAATAGAGAAAACATATAACAACATAAAGTTTGTTTTATTAAATGTAAAATGTATAGATTAATTTGGTGCTTATAATGAATGCATTGCAAAACAAAAGTCTTTCATTGCATCAATTGTGCAGAGTTTTCTACAAAGCACAATACTTTCTAACTTCAACTTCCTGACATTGTTTTACTTCATTAGTCCCTCTGAAAGAATGTTGGTCAATGAACATTGTTGTCATGAAACGGACAAAAACTTCCAGGACGAGCTGTTTATATGTGAACGCAAACAGCCAAATTTTATCACTCTGACCTCACCAGGAGTTTCTCCTGCCAGACCCCTAGTATTTTTTATGCAGCAAGTCTGAATGAGCTGATGTGACAACGCAGCAGGATATTCTCCGGAGAATTCACCTCGAGCCAATAGGAGGAGGGAGTGACGTTTTAATACTGTGGCTGCTGCACGGTGCATAGAGTGTCTGCACGCGACCACTACGATCTCTGTGCATGTAATTAGCAGTTCTCCCGAAATGATCTAGATCAGCGGTGTCCAAACTTTTTTTCTTGCGGGCCAAAGTTGTCGTGTTAGAATCGCTCGCGGGCCACAGGTTTTGTTTTTTAAAATATAGTTGAAAAAACAGTAAGGCTTTGTAGATCAGAATCAAAAGGCTCGCTGAATAAACCCTTTAATAAAAGGAAATCAAATATTTTGATTTCTTCGTTCTACTTCATTTGTTTTTTTCTCAGAATCAAACCTGTAACGTGGTTCATTTTTTTGGAAAAGCTTTCTGCATTTAGCTCAGGTCATTAAATGGTTAAACAACAGTCCGCTTGTTTGCAAAAACTTTGCATACGTTTTTTTTCATAGTTTACAAAAAATAGTACAAGCTGTAGATTTAAAAAAAAAAAAAAAAACAACATACATGTTACTGAACATTTTCTATTTTAGGAATATTGTTCAGCCCTTGTTAACATGAAAAAGAAAAATAAGATAATGTGCCAATCTTAATCAAGGCCTCATTTGAAGTCACGGGCCGCAAAAAAATCCCCTCAAGGGCCGCAAATGGCCCTCGGGCCGCACTTTGGACACCCCTGATCTAGATGTTTACAAGGTTGATTAACTGTGTGTTCTGTATGTGCTGGTACTTGGACTTTAATATAGAATATTTCTGTTAAAAACACAGGTAAGAGTCAGTTAAGTTACTATGATTACAGGGTGAATACAATATGATTAAACCTGGACCCTTGTGTATTTCGGGTCTAAATAAAAGCAAAGTTATCAAAGTTTGGAGACATTTTAGTGGAATTTTGTTCAAGCCTGCAGCAGCTTAGACCGAATTTTCAAGGACATTTAAACCAAAAGACCCCGAAAAGAGCTTGATTGCAATTGACAGACTCTGATTGCCTTTAAAATTGTCGGATGACATGCAAGAGATCTTCAAAACCATGCACTCCACAAACATACAAAATGATTTTGATTTTGTAGAAATCTAGATTTTCCTCTGCTGCTTCCATCAATCATCTAGTGTCTCGGTTTACCTTGTTACTTTTACTGCGTAGTAAAATTAGCCACTTTGTTTCGTTAAATTATGATTAAAAGATCGTTTTTGCCAACAGCTGCAGATTTAAAAGTATATTTTGCGACATTTTTAACATTCATATATCAGATCTCAAATATATTCTACAGTAACTGAAACTATTGTTCAGTTATGACTATTTACAAAAAGAGTGAAGTAAAACTCCCTCTGGTTTTGTTGTTCTGATCTCTGTTTTAAAACTGTTAGTGTTTCTTTCAGCTTGTTTGTTTCTCTAAGAGGCTCAAAGATGTTTCATACTTTTTTCGCATAAACATCTCCCTTTCCAACTGTTAGCCTTGAAACCCGAAGAATGACGATGGGCAAATAGTGACAGCCCCTGGTGCTGCAGAGCAACATCTACTGGACATGTACTCTCTGATATACGCATCTACCTTTGAAAAAAGATTTTAACTTATCAAAAGGAAAGACAATTCCAGAAGCTCCTCTCTGTAACAGTCTCATATTGAGTTCAGAACAGTTTTAGTCTGCCAGTAGCAAACACATGCACTTTTCTATCATGCACTTTTCCATCAGTCAGATTGCCCTGAAAGAATACATTGCAGCCATTAAAGCCTGTCTTATACTCGTGCAGTCTTTGCAGCTATTCCACAACTTTTTGAGGGTCTAAAGTAATTTAATATGTCAAATAAATGGAGGATACAGGTTTAAAAACACCAAAATCCCCCTTTGATACCTGCTGAGTGTCCCTATCAGTCCAGTTGTTTCTTGCATTGGCTGCAAAGGTTTGCTTGAGAGGAGTCACTCTTGGTGGGTGGAATGTTTATTTTGTTGTTTTCTTGGTGGTTGGATGTCATGTTTGTTTGGCTGGTTGGCTCACTTGGACCAGGTGAAGATGGACCACCACTGGGGTCCTGTTTCTTCTTCTTCCACCCTAGCATACTGAATAGCTCTTTCTGGAATTGAGATGAGCCAAAGTAGTAGACCAGGGGATCAAGGAGGCAGTTCAGACTTCCCAAACACAAAAAGATCAAATAGACTATGTAGAGGATGTCTGCATTGTCTTCGATCTGAGCTCCTTCTGTATCCTTAAGCTGGTGCATAATGAGGACGAGGTTAGTGGGTGTGAAACACAGCACAAACATCACCAGTACCGTTCCAGACAAAAAGACTGCTCTTCTTTTCTTAAGTGAATGGTCTGGAACTCCTGGTTGGTCCTTGCTCAGGGTCATGATCACACGAGTGTAGGACACCATGGTAATGATCAGAGGCAGGAAGAAGAGGAGGCAGCAGAGAGTGACGAAATACATCTTGTAGCACAAGAAAAGCTTTGAGGATTGGATGTCATGGCAGGTGGTGATGCCCAACTGTGTGAGGTGGAAAGTCTGTTCAGTGAAGAGGAGGTGCATCGAGCCAGCAAAGGAGAATATCCACATGGCTACACAGGCTATGATGGCCTTTGTAGGACTTCTCCAAGACAGGGAGTCAATAGGATAGACCACAGCGAGAAGTCAGTCCACACTGATGAGGGCTATGAGCAGAACGGAGCAGTACATGTTCCAGTAAAAGGCTGCGGTGACCACACGGCACATGGCTGGACCGAATATCCAGTTGTTTCCATTAAAATGGTATGAAATCTTGAAGGGCAGCACCATGGCAAAGAGCAGGTCAGCACAGACCAGATTCAGCATGTAGATCACTGCCGGCTTCTTAATCTTTATTTTTCTAATGAAGACCAGCCCTGCACAGATGTTGATGGGCACACTGATGAGACAGACCAGTGTGTAGAAGGTCGGGATGAGGATGGTAGACACAGGTCCTGTTAGAAACAGCTGCGCCTCCTCTGAGATTTTATACCGGCTGTGGTTAGAAGACTGCAGAGGATTTGCATCAGGACTATGTTGGGTACCTTTAGTACAGTTGCATCGGTTTGATATTTTTACAGGATAAGGGATATCGGGCCATCCTGCCCCACTGCCTGGAAAGAGAACATAGATTAATGTTTAAAATCTACATTTAAGAAAAATAACAAATATTCAAGAATAATTTGGTTGTTTCTTTACAAGTACCGGGTAAAAAAAAAGTTATTTAAGGTCAAAGTGTATCCCTCAGGTCACTTTTCATTACCATCATATTCACTGGGAAAGATGAGGTATTCTTTCGGGTGGTTGGATGGTGTGCCATGGTAGTAGCTGGGTCTGGCTAAGATGACTGGAAAGAGAAAGTACAAGTGAATTTAGCACAACTGTGTAATAATTAAGGTCAGATGCAATCCTTCAGGTCATCTTTAATTACCATTTTTTCTGATGGGTTGGTTGGGTGATACTTCAAGAAGACCAAAGCCTTCTATAAAACGGCTGACTGGAAAGAGAAAGTAAAACGTGTCAAACAAGTATTACCAAGGAAGCCAAGTAAGATGTTTTAATCTCCCCGGTAGCAGACCCTGAACTGTTAACCAACAAGATAATAAAAAGCTTTTAGAATCAACAAATGTTTGTGACACCTTTTTGTAAAATTGAAATTATATATCCAATGTTAAAAGTATTGTAAACTACAAAGTTAGAGCAGATCAGATTGACTCAAGACTCAATATAAACTAAACCACTGTTTTCTGCCTTCTATTCACTTATGATAGATGGATGAATATTGTTGCTTCAGTTGGGTGAGTTAGAGAATCAGTTCATTTTCTCTTTTTGAAAAGAATAAATAAAAAATGGTAAAAATGGTTGTTACTTTTATTTTAAAACCCTAAAGTATCTTTTATGAATATTATTGCCAAAGCTATCAGTAATAGGGCACCCAGAAGTAAGTTAGCATTTGAGCGCCATGGGGTCTATCGTCTAAAAGTCAATGTGAATTTTAAATGGGGTTTGTGGTTAGACGCCTGAAAAAAGGTCTGTGGTTAAAACAAGTTATAGAGATGTTGGCGTTTTGTTAGACGACATAAACTACGTTAGGTAATACCCCCACTTGTGAATTTTAAGTTTTTAACGCGTCCTTAAAAAGGCGGTTGCTAACAAGTGGCTAAATAAGACTACAGTGGTTGTCGGGGACATTAAAGGTCATCAAGCCGGACACAAACGCGAAGAACTGTGTCACTAGTCTGTGATGTCTCCAGTAGGTTTAATCTTTGTGTTAAGGCAAATTTATTAAACTATGCAGATTAGTCTATCGGAGATGGTCTGAAGCATAACGGTAGTGACGTCAATATCATCCGACCGTGGTGTAGTTCACTATAGCATAACGCTAGCTTTTTACTTCTGTCTGCCGCATTAAAGGTCCCATATTCTGCTTTTTCTGGTTTTATATGCTCTTTAGTGTGTTTTCCAAGTGTCCTGTGCATGTTTAAGCACATCTATTTGCAAAAATTCAAAGTCCTCGTAAACGCGGCTTCTCCTACGTCCTCCTGTTAGCAAAGCAGACTTAATTAGCCGGACGGGAAACCAAAGATAGAAGGCAACTGCAGTTTGACATTCAGTGAAGTTGGACGCTCATCCAGCCACACAGCCAAACAGACAATACAATAAAACCACACATTATCAACCCACGCACGACAACAAACTTTGTAAACAGTGTGACAGCAATCCAATCAGACCAATCAGATCAGACTTGGCACACGTGGGGACTCTGAACGTGGGCACTTTAGAGCCTTAGAGAGAGAGAGTCAGAAGCGAGCCGGTGCATGGAGCGGCAGTTCATGAAAACAGACACTTTTTTTTCGAACTTTAGCTATTGTGAACATACTTTAGTAGGTACGTAGATTAAATATATGAACCCCAAAAAGGGCAGAATATGGGCTCTTTAAGTTGTGATATGACATAAATACAAGTATATTTTACATTTTGTTATAGGTATTCAATATATTTACACATTTTTTAAATTTCTGTTTTGTTAAACACATTTTACAAATCAATCAGTGAATAGTCTTTATTAAGATAAGATAAGATAAGACTATATTGTCTGTTTGCACAGAAATTTCGCATTACAAGTTCAGAGATCCTTTCATCGCAATCAAATCACATCACACTCAAAAGACCAAACATAAAAAACAGCATTAACTGTATTCAAACTCATATAAACTTTGTTATATTGATAGCAGTGAACAATGTTTACTTGGATAACATATTTACCCAGTTAATTGTTTCATCCAAGCAACAACAATATAATTCCTGTAACACAACAGCCAAAGGGACTATTCAGATATCTTCTGTTTGACTCAAAGCACAAAGATCTTTTACTATGACCTGTAACTAAGAACTGACTGCCATTATTTATACAGTCACTTTTGTGATACTTAACATTTCCCACCATATAAAGAACAACATGGTCATGTCACTAGATTATAATTATTGATGCATAACGGCGTTCATTATTCGTTGAAGCTTTACACTTCACACTTTACACTTTACACTTGTGGCCTCTAATCCTAAAACACATGAATACTAATCCATCCATTTTCTTTACCGCTTTTCCCATTTGGGGTTGCGGGGGCTGGAGCTGATCCCAGCTGGTCGCCAGTGAATCACATGGCTGACATAGAGAGACAGACAACCAAACACACTCACATTCACTACGGGCAATTTTGAGTCTCCAATAAACCTAACCAGCATGTCTTTGGACTGTGGAAGAAGTCCTGAGTATGCTGAGAAAATCCACGCATGCACTGGGAGAACACGCAAACTCCATACAGAGAGGCTCAGTCCGACGGGGATTCAAACCATGAACGTCCTTCAACAGCGCTCTAATGCACCACTGTACAGCCCTTCATTAAACACATGAATAATAATAATACATTTTATTCATACCACACTTACGGTAACATCTAAAGCACATATTAGAGTGCAAGACATTCAAAAAGGAGCTTTAAAAGCAAACAAATACAGGATAGATAATTAGTTGAATATGGTTGAGAATTGTTATCTTGTACTGGAAGGTTGCCAAGCAAAGACATTTAGTCCAAGTGCAAAACCCTCCTCTGTAATCTATGTACAGCAGGTTTATCAAAGCTATTCTGCTTCCTGATGCAGCCAAAAGCAACACTATGAGAGCACAGATGAGTAAACAGAAACATTGATTTATCGCTGCTTTTAGTGTTTTTGTGAGAGAAAACAGCTTGGATGGACACAATGTCCACTCAGAGGTCGTGTTGCTCATGTAGCATGCTAGTGCTAGTGCCTAAACTAACATAATCGCATTCTCTCTCATTGGAGCAGCCAGGATACATCTGGTGGGAGATCATGCCCAGAGCGCAATTACTGCACAGATCCAGACATATGAATCACTAGTTGAATTCCTATTTTTTGTTTCCACTTCTTCAGAAATGGAAACAAACAAACAAAGTTTCTTTGATTGTATCTGGTCAGGACAGGCTGTGCATTCAACAATAGGGTGTTAAGCAATATTGGCAAAGGAATTGAAAAAGGAAGGATGTGAATAACTAAACCAGGACTGATGATTTGAGGCTTTGGTCTCAAATTCTGAGCAGTGTCTCTCAGCTATAGTTACCCATAAATCCTGAAATGTTTGGCTGACATCGAGTATCAGGGACCTTGAGAGTTGGCACACCTCCGAGTTTCCTCGAAGCGAGAGGGCCGGTTTTCGACTCCGACCTATGGCTCCTTTCCTGCATGTCATTCCCCACTCTCTCCATGCTTTATCCACTGTCCTATCTCTCCAGTAAAGGCATAAAAAGCCCCAAAATAAATCTTTAAAAAAAAAATAATAGTGATTCTGAATTGGATCCCAAACTTTTTCAGCTGCCCCCTTTGGAAAGTCAAAATATCCTCTGGTCTTGCTTCATTTTCAATGTCCAGATTTTATGACTATGACTAACTACAGAAACAATAACACAGGCAGGATGTGGCACACACTCCCCGTGTGTCTCTGTTCATTACCCAACATTGTTCAGATGAAGCAGAGGGCGAGGTATGGCTCGTCATATATTGTCTTGTCTTTGTTTTAGTAGTTTTGTCAACTGGTGTAAATTCATTGTGAGTCTTGTGTTTACCTGGAAGTCCAATCTCAAATTTTGCACTGCTTTGCTAGCAGTGCAAAATAGTGTGCAATGTTTTTTATTAGCCTTGCCGCTCCCCGACTAATGGGTTTATTTACCTTTAGAGGAGCAGTATGTAACTCTGGCATGTTTAAATTTGGTACTGCAGTCCAAAGTTGTCTCCCCCCGCCCCCCTCCTCCCTAGAGTCGATATGCATGCAGGTTGCCATGTCACGGACACTGAAGCTTCAGTGTTTAGCCAGCGCTGCATCGCTCTGTAAACCTTTCTGCGTTATAACCTCTCTCCATTTTTCAAAAAGCATCTCCAATATTGATCCTAGTTTGAGCATGTTTTTCACCTTCTTTGTGCCTATAGAAAAGAATCCAAAAAATAAAAAGTTCTTCCCGTTGGCGTGAGAAAAGACGCAATATAGGTCCCAGTTTCAGGCTTTAATGGTGTTTACTTAACTCCTGCAGAATGCATAAATACCAGGACAGAAAACCTTCAGCTATTCTGAGCCAGCTGGGAATAAATAAACTTGGAACAAACTAATGGGTCTCTGGAGAGTGTTCTCTGTAAATGTTGGAGCAATCCCATCATTGATACAACTGAAGAGTTTAAAAGTAGAAAAAACAAACAGTATATGTTAAAAATGTGGATAACATTGCTGCTGCAGTTTAAAACATAAAGGAGGTAAACATAAAAAAAAATGCAGAAGTCCTCAAATAAAGGGAAACATCGCCCTCCTGTGGGGAAAATTGGCAGTTAACATTTTTTTTGTTTCCTCCAAACTGTATATCTTTTTTCACCATGCAAAATAAAAAAATCTGGATGTTGAATAATCATGAAATGAATCGAATTGCCCTTCTGAGACAACCCCACTCTCCTTAAAGTTGTTCATCTTAAGGATTCTCAGTAAGAGTATAATGTGTGTGCATTGGGTGAGAGGCGGGGTACACCCTACAGGCAATTTTAGAGTTAACCTAACAAGCACGTCTTTGGACTGTGGGAGGAAACTGGAGTACCTGGAGAGACCATACAAACTCCACACAGAGAGGCCATATCTGACGGGGATTAGAACCAGGAACCTCCTCGCTGTGTGAGGAAAAAGTACTAACCACTGCACCACCATGTAGCCCTGAGCAAACATCCTTTAGGGAAAATAGAGTAAATCTAGCAGGAGGTAGGACATGATGTAAGAAGGAGGCTATACAATGGAAATCACAAGCTGGGTCTTAATTCAGGAACTGTATCCTTGGAAGGCTTTCCCATTTCCAGTGGTCGACAGTAACAAAGTAGATTTAATGAGTTCTGTTTTTAAGGGACATTTTGGAGCATCTGTGTTTTATTTGAGTATCATTATTTGGGAAAATGTATTATCTTTGACACCATTATGAATATTCTTGTTTCTTTTGCTCTGAAGTCAGCAGATGGATTTTTTTTTTTCTTCTCTAAAGATAATAACGTGTTCGTGTAGTTTTGCATGTGGTTTGTCTTACAGTCACACGTCTCCGTGGTTGAAAGCAGAGCAAACGTCACTCACAGCTTCCTGCTGCTCCTGATTTCCTGCAGAAATGATACGAGGGGCCGGCAAGAAAATGTCTGAATGAAGTCTAGATGTTTTTTTGTTTTTTTAATCCTTTAACAGAATCATCGTCCAGCTTGACTGCAAAGTGCTGTCTTTGTTACGTTTACACCAAGTATGAAACTTCATTTATTTCTTCCTTTAAAAATGGGAAACAGAAAGCAGAATTTCCAGCCGGTTTTCTGCACATTGACTGTTTGACCTGTTGCACAGGAAACAGCTTTTCTCTGCAGGTGTGTTTCTGTTTCTTTGAAGAAGTGACTCGAAGAGGAACAGAGATGAATCATGTTCAGTTTCGGAGGCCTCAAATGGAAATGTTTATCACAGGTTGCTGTTTGTCTATGGTCACTGAGTCAAACTTGCTTTAAACGTATTGCTTTAAAGTGGAACATATAACTTGCAGCAATCATCTGACCTAGATTGTAATTTTTGCATCTGACAGAAAACACAGCCACCCTGACGTTACTTGTAAAACCACAGGTTTATTTTGTTTGAGATGATGCTGAACAGAGTGCAGAGCTGTTACATTGATCTGCTCTCAGTATGAGTCATCGGTGATGTTTGTGTATTTTGGATGACACGAGTGATGTCACAGGCGGAGAGTGGGATGTGACATGACAGCGAGGGGTCTGTCTGTGGAGGTCTGACGGATGCTGGGACTGAAAACATCTCCTGTCGCATAACCCGATAAACAGAACAGACAAAAACAAGACAAAGGTCACATCTGTGATCAGCGGCTGCAGCTTGCCGTGCTTAGAGATCGAGTTATGAAATGATCACTGGATCGTGCAAATGAAGAATGCTTTACACTGAAGGTTGGGGCGCTAAAGAATGTAGATGTTTCCTGTAGATATGGGTGAAAGATTTCAAACGTAGCTTGTCCTAAAAAAAATATCAAACTCTACAGAAACGGAGATATGAGAAGGTGACTCCGACCAAAGCAGCTTTTCTTCCATTCATGACATTTAGCAAACTTTTAAAGCACCTTAATGCATTTTTAATTCCACAGGAAACAGAGAAACAAACAGAGGATACAAATGACAAAATAAAACAGGAATTCACAACTGAGCAACAACCAACGAGGATCAACCAAACTAATCAAAAGTAAATCATGACTACAGCGACTTTTGGTTAAAAATACGGCTGAAGATCTGAAGTCTTTTTTAAAGTTTTGGCTCTTATATCATCAATCATTAAAATAACAAGAGATTACATCATCTTTAAACAAATGGTGTAGAAAATGATCGAGGTATTGAAAATGTTGACAACCCTAATCATTACCCTCTATGGTCTTGAAGCTCATAAATAGTCATCAATATGAATTCCCGTCTGTTTCACAAGTTCAAAACATCAATTTCATTAGCATTGTTATTACTTATTCCTCCCTCTAGCATTTTTCATTTCCTTTCTCTTCCTTCATCTGCCTCAGATCTCAGCTCTGATCAATCCTTTAGCAACTACTCACAGTATCATGGTAACCTTTATTGTTTGTCTCTGTACTGAGTCTTAGGCCTTGTGTCTACCTAGCGTTTTTTTTCTGAGCGCCAGCGTCTTTTTTCAATTGTTTTCAATGGGTAGCGAGCTTGTGCAGCAGAAAGCGGCCGCCTGGAGAAAAAAAGCAAAGTCTTTTCTTCCAAGCGCTCAAGTTAATTAGTTAGTTTTCCGAGCGCCTTTGTCGTGCAGCTACTGTGAGCGATCAAGTTGAAAATCTTTCAACTTTTCAGAAAGGCGCTGTTGACGTCACCGGCGCTCTTTTCCAAATGTTTGATATTCCCTGTAGTTTTGTCGCCTCCAGATCGTGTCTTCGTGTCTGATCTGGTAAAAACGATCTAAATTTAGAAAAAAAGGTGAAGGAGCAGTGTTACTCATACAGCTGCCGTTGTCAACAAACTGTTGTCATAGAGACCGGGAAGACGTGTAGCGCTTATCTTCTCTGAAAAATTGCTAGGTGGACATGTTCTGTCATGTTATATCATCACCAGTAAAAAAGAAAAAAGTAATACGCTTGAATGAGCTTTTAGAAACTCCAACAATGTCTTTATCTACTTATTCCCCATCTTGTTATTCTTATACTTATTCTGTGCTGTGTTTGCACTTTTTAAAATGTGTCTTTTTATTGTTTCTTCACTAAATGTCCGCTTATTAAAAAGTCAACATGAAAAAGGTAACGCTGACTTCATATTTACCCCTAGATAGATGTGGATCACAGTGAGTGAGTATAGCCTACAAATAGAGTTTAACATAATGTGATAAATATGACAGACAAACCAGTTTGAGCAGGGTGTGAGCACATTTGATATTTTTAACATCTGACTCTCAAACGGTCTTATAAACCGAAAAATGACTAACATGTCTATGTTTAAAAGACAAAATAAAGAGGAAGTGAATACTAAACAGAGAAGCTCGTGTTCAGACGGGCTTATCTTCTTCAGACAGACGTTTCCTATCTTTCCCAGTGGCCCCTTTCCTGCTTACGACGTCACCAAACATCCCTGCAGGCATCGTTTCGCTGAGATGGGACGGGAAGATCCCAAAGTTTCCAAATGTTCAGCCAAAATGTATATGTAGACTAGCTGTACAGTTTCACATGATGCAGAGTCTGAACGAGGGGATACATGGAAGTAAAGATAACTCTGAAGAACTCTGAGGTGAATTTTAGAGAAGAAGAAAACAAAGAACATAGCACGCAGTGTTTTCCACACATGTCACCTTTGATTCTCATGAAACAAAACGTGGTGCAATAACAGTGACAGCAGGGATGTGAGGGGGCGTCGCATTCACAGGTTCACTCTGTGCGTGTTCAAACATCGACCCGCATTCCTTCTTAATCAGAGAAGATGTTTTGTTTTTAAGGGAGGTGTTTGTCACTTCAGAGTTTGCTCCCACAGAGGAGGGTAGTCCAACGCAGAGAGGAAATGTGAATGAGAGAGAGAGGAGAGAGAGAGAGAGCGAGAGAGCAAGATTTGTCCCTTGACACTCAGAGTTTACAACTGTTCACCGATAAGAGCAATGGGGAGACATCTTTTATTTCTCCTTCTTTTGGTCCTCTGTCTGAGTGTTACACTTCAAAAGAAAGGTAAGAGATTCTTTTTTAATACTTCTTTATGTTATTTAAAAAATGACCAATCATTTAAACTCGCTCTGACAATGCTGACTGTGTCGTTTAATGTTGAAACTGTGTAGTATTCGCTGACAGCTCTGAGGGCTTTCTGAGTTAATGTACCTTCAGATTAATCAATAACAGCACGCTTCAGCCTGCACACTGGTGATTCAATGATTCACTATTACACCTAACACATTCTGTACATATGACACATGTAGTTTCATCATTAGAATTTAAACCTCATGGCTGATGGGTGGACAAAAAGAAGGGATCTGACGGTGTAATTAATAAAATATCAATAAATCAATCGAGGAAATGATGACATTTAATCACTAATGAAAGTGCTGATAGTCTGAAGTTCAGTGACTGTGACCCAGTAAAAGTTTATACTCAGTTATGGAAAAAGATGTCAAATCTTTTAATTACCGGTATACGAAATTCCAGCATTCAAATTCCATTCAGTTCATTCAATATAAGATATAAACATGTTTTTCCAAAAAAGAGAGAGAGGATCAATAAAACACTTTAAACACAATTTAACAGTTAAAGAAAAATGAACCAGCAGAATAAAGCGTTTGTTAAAGGCAGGGTTGGTAATTTCCTCCAGATCCACTTTTTTAAGATTTTGGTTGAAATTGTCTTTAGGTCCTGACAGAACTTAATAACTCATGTTCTCTGAAAGATGAACGTAGAAAATCCATCACCTTCAGCAGTTGTAAGCGTGTAAAAACTTCAACCAATGTCTGCCAAGAGGTAAACTATCTCTAACTCAAAGAGCGTCACTGATGAGTTTATACTGTCAGTTTGTCGATGGCCGTTGTGAGTAGTAAAATAGTCATGTTTATGTAACGTGAATACGATAATGTTTAGTGTTTTCTTACCGCTGAATGAGACGACGTAGTTTCTACACAATGCAAACGATGAGCTGAGGTCCGCTTCTGGAGAAACGGCGCTCATTCATGTAAGTGAGGGGGCGTGGCTTTAGAGGGAGCACAGAGGGGACGGGGGTTGGTGTGTAGACGGAGCACTGAGGGAATGCTACTTTCAAAATCATGCCAGTTTTGTAAAATGACCAACCCTGCCTTTAACTGTATTTTAGGCTGAACTTGCATCTTGCAACTTAAATCTGCTCTCTGAATGGTATCGTAAAAGAGAGAGAAACATTTCTTTGAGTTTCTCAGATATCATTCTCACGTGCGAAAATGATCCTGAACTTTTGCATTTTGTTGTTTTTCTTGCAGGGAAGAGGAAGAATAAAGGACACAAGAGGAATAGTTCTGAGATTTCTGTCGTCGAGCCCAGAACTTTTAAAGGCAAGCCGGACCATCAGGGCATATTTATTCTCGTCCTAAACGGGACTCAGGCTCCCGTTTCATCTCACTCCCCTCCAGCATTGCGGTCTCTAAGCAACAGCACAAAGGAGTACCTCCTTGGCGCTCTGAGCACGCGGATCATCCCCGTCGTTTACATTCTGGTCGTCACTGTCGGGGTCCCGGCCAATGTCGCCATCTTGTGCATGCTCGTCACCAAAGTCAGAAAAGTGTCGTCGGCCATCCTCTACAGCAGCCTGGCGGTCTCAGATCTCCTCCTCCTCCTCTCCCTCTTCTTCAAGGCTCACTACCATCTCCATGGAAACCACTGGGTGCTCGGGGAGGCCGCCTGTCGAGTGGTCACGGCCTGTTTCTATGGCAACCTGTACTGCTCGGCCCAGACGCTGGCCTGCATCAGCGTCAAGCGCTACCTGGCCGTGGTGCACCCGTTCATGTACAAAAGACTCCCCAAGAGGATGTACACGGCGTGCGTCAGCCTCGCCGTGTGGGGGGTGTTTGGCGCCGCCGTTGTCCCTGAGCTCCTTGTGCAGCAAAGCTATTGGCTCCCCGAGGTGGGCCGCAAAACCTGCCACGATGTCCTACCTCTGGACTACGACTCCCATGTCTACCTGCTTTACTACAACCTGTTTTTAACCTTTTTTGGCCTCCTGGTTCCTCTCGTGGTGACGGTCGTTTGCTACGTCCGGATAATCTGCGAGCTGCAGCGATCGCACAACGACTGGGCGATGTACATCAAGGCCAGCTCTCTGGTGTTTGGCATCTTCCTGTTGTGTTTCACCCCCGCTGGAGTCCTGCACTTCCTCCATTACGTGCGTCTATTTGCGGATGGAACGGAAAGTTTGTACGTCTATTTTCAAGCAGCAGTGTGTCTGAGCTGCGTCCACGCCTGCCTTGACCCCTTCCTCTTTCAGCTCATGTCCAAGTCTACAGGATCCAGCCTCTACTTCAGGCCTTTCAAAGGCAAAAGGTTGAGCATTTCTTTCTGAGAAAGGCCTATAAATGCGACCAAAAAAACTGGCTTTGATTTAGAGTTTGCAGCAGATGAAGAGGGAGGGGGAGTTTCTCTTTGGCTAGAATCCAAAAGAGAAAGCAAGAAGACCTTTGAAGTATTTATGAAAAACAAGCGATATGCAGACTTCTTGCTGAAGTGAGCGTGAATCTGCGACAGAGAGAGGGAGTCCTACGATGGTTAATGCATGCGATGCAATGTAAATACTTGTACATAAATATTGAATTTGATATTATTATATATTGATTTATATTCATGAGAAGTCTTCCTGGTGAAGCATTTGTGTTTGACATTTATAGCTGACAGTGAGTAAACTATACCTTTCTGTATTCCTCTTATTACATGTTAAGCTGTGATGTCTGCTGATTAAAAAATACTCCAAACTTTGTCCAAACACTTTTTTTTTTAAATGAAGCCAATATGGAAGTCCCAAAAAAGAAATGGTGTTTAAAAGAAAACTGTTTTGTGTTCTATTGCTCATTTGTCTTTTCTGGTTGGGGTGGGGCTTTTTTTCTTTTTTATAACCCACTCATTATGATTTTATAAAGGGCAATACAAACAGGTGGGTGCATTGTTACTGTTTGCCAAGGGACTGACAGCTCCTTATCTGTTAATAGATTATCTGAAAGTTAGGGATAGCATTTCCTATGTAGGCTACCACCATCCCTTCAAAATGCCTTTTCAACAGCCAACGGATAACCCACTAAGACCCCATCCATGTTTTTATTGACTTTTTGTCTACTTGGCAATCGCCCACAATTACTTAACTTCAGTATGATACTTACAGATATATTTATCTTTTTCTAAGAGATGTTAACTTTAGCTCTGACCTCCTGAAGAGGGAACTCACGTAATTGCCCCTGTTACCCCTCTCAGTGAGCAAGCATTTCCTGCCAAGGCGCTGACAGGATGCAGGGTGAGACAAAACCAAACCTCAGTGGAAACACACACACGTTGAGTTTCCCTGTGATAATTTTAACTGACTTCCTCTGCGTGGGAAAAAAAAATTCAGGGTCAGTTGATAAATTCTAAATATTCCAGTGGAACAATTTACTGATTTTTTTCAGAGTTATCAGAAGAAAAAGTCGAAACTGAAAACTGGAAAGAAAGAAAAACTTGTGTAGGGTTATCGACAATAACAGATTTGGTCCAGACTCACCTTTTGAGAGTTCACTATAACACCAGAAGGTTTTGAATCTAGTGGAATTTGTTTTTTTGTCTATTTCAATGTCTAATTTGAGACTCTTAGCCTGCTTGACTTCACGCCTCATTGTGTTTTTATTGAGGATAATTCTGACACTGTGTATAAGTTGTATTGGTTTGCTGCTGGTATGATATGGAAGCCCAAAGTGGCCATGGATCAAACATTTTAGTTATTCTGTTTTCCTACAATAATGAGTACTATCAGGTTGTTTTATGAGATCCACGCAGCACGACACAAACATATAAATAGGCCTAACTTAGCTCATTAGTGTGGGCAATGGCAGCATGGCATGTCATGTTCTGGCCAATCACAGCGTTTCCTAAACCGCCAGAAAATGATCCTTTTATCACACGAAAACACGCTCTGTTATCCAGAGATAATGAAATAGACAAACAGAAGAAACCCCAAATTCATCGTTATCAGGAGGAATGAAGTAAATAAAATGTTTGGGTGCTTGTCTGCTTTGGGCTTCCGTAGTATGATGTCACTGCACCGCTGAAGCTTCACTATCAAAGTTTGACATCAGGCACACCCTCCGACTGACCGCTTTGTTTCACCTTTGCTCCATTTAACACAGAAACATGAGTCATGTGTGCTTGTGCTACTTTCACACTATGTATCAGCATTTAACATTTTCCCTTAGACACTTGTAATCACATTTCAGTCAAATTTACAAAACTTCACCGGCTTTACTTTGGAGCCTGTTGTTTGAATGGGCTAGGACAGATTTAGACATTAAAGGAATAAATCTGTAGAAAGTATAAGATCAATTACAAGATAATAAAAAGGCAAATAAGAATAATTGGTTACCAAAAAAATGAAAAACATACAAGGGGTCACAGATGCATTAAAAGTAAATAGAAGTACAAAATGTTTTAATATAAGGACACAAAACCAAGTCCATAAGATTGTAATATTATCAAGAGAATTAGATTGAAAAAAATGAATCTGGAAAACAAAAAAAAAAAAATAATAATAATAATAATAATTCTACACTGTAAAAATGAAAATGTAAAATTGTCAGACTTAAAACAATATATGAGTAAACTGAACACAACATATCTAATTGTTTTGCAAACAATATTAAAGTACTTGTCTCAGGTATGTTTTTTAAAGTTTCTTGTGTAAAGTTGCTGTTATTTATGGGGCGGCTGTGGCTCAGGTCGATCGTCTCACAACAGGAAGGTTGAGGGTTTGATTACCACAGCTGCAGCAACATGTCCGATGTGTCCTTGTTTAAGACACTCAACCCCAAGTTGCTCCTTCTGCTTTGTCAGTGGCGTGTGTGTCAATGGCAGTAGTTACTTCTGATGGTCACTTTACACAGCAACCTTTGCCATCAGTGTGTGAAAGTGTAGGTGTGAATGTGTAGGTGTGAATGTGTAGGTGTGAATGTGGTGTAAACGCTCTTTGACAGTTTGTCACCTTTCCTCTCAAATCTCCTTCAAAACAAACAATGAGCAGTTTAAAGATCATTTAAAGTTCAATAAGGCCCCACACTAGTATTTGAATAACTTCTTAAAAAACCTGACAGACAAACATTTGGAGCCTGTCTTTGTTTATTTTGCATCAATGGCGCCATCTGCTGGTGACAGCGAGTGCAACATGAACGAATGAAAAACAAAAAGTCCCACGGCTTTTCAAATGAAACTTTTTATTCAATATGGAGACACCAGAGGAATCCAACTATACACTGCATTCACTTGAGTCTTTCTTATGAAAAATAAATCATATCAAGGACAGGTAATTTTTTTTTTTTTTTTTTTTACACACACCTCCACACAGAGATTACACAGCAGAGGATTTCAAATCTGAAGCTTTTGGCAACTTCAGTCCCCCCTAAGAGTGAATTAACTATAATAACTGGAAAAACCTTCCTGCTGCAGATTTGACCACCCCCTGCTGTTAAACACCATGTACACACAGCCTTCTCACCACTAGCACACCTTCTTACAACAACCTTGAATCTGTCCATAACCAATCTGACGACACACGAGAATGATACATTCACTTTTGACCCGGAAATCACTTCTGTTCCCCCCCCCCACACACAGAGGGGAACAGAGAACACACCAAAATGGAAAAAGCACACACAAGAGAAGGACTTCAGTAACAAACATGCAGGATTTCTGTTTGGAAACAGTGAAGTAGAGTTTTGTTCAGCTCAGGTGAAGGTGTTGGAAGCAGAAATAAAGCGTGTGACATCAAGAAACCAGAGACATATCTTGAAACAGTTCCCTTTTAGTCAGAATAATAAAGTAGTCTGTAGAAGGAATAGCTGCATGTAGAAGGTCGTGTACTGCACAAATACGTCTTCCAGAATAGGAGAATTTAAATTATTGAAATGAACAGTACTGTACTTTTGTGTTTCTTTTTTGTGTGATTGAATTTTCTCCACAAAAGAACAAGTTACAGAGATTATTTTACAAATTCCCTTATGCATTGAAACATCGAAACAATTACATCGTAGCAGCAAGAGTCGCATTCATTTAGAGGTTTTAAAGGCTCACTTCACCTAAATCCTAAATCCCCCACCTTCACCCAGAGGACATTCGATGGTTCCTTGACCTTTTTTGGTTCTCGATGACGGTCCCTTTTGCTGTCATCCTGGCTGGTAGGCATGTTTTCTTTTGGGATTTGGGTGAAATGGTCCTTTAAGCATGGCTTTTAATTTCACTTAAGCACGGGTTTCAAATCCTCCAGGTTCCTTGGTATAGACTTCAACAAAACGTTCAGCGACGATCACTGAATCTAATAAGGGTTTGTCTGGACACACATGTTCAAACTCACACACACACACACACACACGGAAGTTCACGCACCCTGCAGTTTCAAGAGATGAGATAAGAAAAAGAAAGCAGGACAGGGCAGCAAAGCTTCCAGCAAGATTTGGAAGAAAGGCGGGCTTGACAGAGAGAGAGAGAGAGGCACGACATTTGAGAAAGGCCTTTGAGTTTTGGAGGGAGCAGCAGCAAGGCAAGAGGAGATAAAAACAGAGCAAGAGGACGAGACTGGATGACGGACACAATAAAGAAACCGATACAGAAAGGAGAGAGAAAAAAAAAACATGGAGGAAAGCAGATAATAACAGCAGAGTATAAATTCTTCTCGACAGATCAGATTGCAAAGGAAAAAACAAAGCCCTTCATGGTGAGCTCGGCGCCACGGGACGAACACGACACAGACACAAGAGAGGAAGACAGGAAGCATTCAGACACAAGGTTTCCAATTCCCAAAAGTCTCTTACTGTAAAAGCAGAAAATGTAAACTTCTTTTCACTTTAGAAATGTAGCTGCTGAAGTTGCCGGTTTTCACTACTCTACTACATCGTTTAGATTTTTTTCCTATGGCCTTGTCATTCTTGGAAATTGCTGCAAAAAGGTCTGAACTTCACCCGCCTTTAGATCACAGGTACGGAAACTGAGGACGATCTTAAATCTACAAACGATAAAACATATCCTTACAGCAATAAATAACTTGCATAAAAAATAATTTACTTATAATATAAATACAGATACATAAATAATCCTGTTATCAAATGATTTATTCTTAAAGAAATAGTTCAAAATGTTGTTGAACATGGTCCACTGATTGATTTTCTTACAGAGATCTAGATAAGAGTAGATATGCCACTCTTGTTTGTTTGTTTTTAAATAATCTTGTAGCCACAGCTAGCAGCTAGTTAGCTTAGCGTAAAGACTGGAAGAAGAGACACATAGCTAGCCCGGTTAAAATATGTTTTGTATAATTAGATTTTTACATAATAAAAGAGAATGAAAGCAACACATTGAGTTAATAAAGTCTGTAAAATCCTTCATGAAACTAAAACTAATTGTGTTTAATCCTCATTTTCGTCTGAGCCTGACTTTTGGAGCTATCGTTAGCTTAAGCATCCGAGCCTGATTTTGTGTAACTTTCTGAAAAAAAGGACCAATTGTATCAAATATTAGAAATAATTTAAAGTGGTAAATCTGCCCGTAATCTTTTCCTTAACGTTTGTTAAGTTAGATTTCTTCAAGTTTTGTCAAGTTTTGTTAGCAATGAGCTAGGGCCTGGCTAGGTGTAAGTTAGTAAAGCCCGACGATATTGTGTATTTGAGACGGATGTTGATTTTAACGGGGATACGTTTGCTGAAAAAACAATATGGTGGTTGTCATGGAGATCTTGTATGAAAATAGGTGAATATAACAATAAATATACACAGATATGGCATTACAAAAAGTGATCATGAAGCGTTTTCCAAAACAAACAACTTAATCATGAATTCATCATCAATCTGCTTCCCTTTATGGCGATATGTGCTGCAGACAGTGCTGAGAGGACTGTAGTGAATACCAGGTAGTAAGGCCCTCTGCTGGAGATACTCTGTATTGGTCATAATTTCTGAATCATCTAAACTATTATCTGAACTGTATTCTTAGGAGAAAAAAAAGTACAATTAGTGCAAACTGGAAAACGTTCCAATATTTGTGATGGGCCCATCATCGGCCAATCTCACCTGTCGGACTCTTCAGTTTCTGGTTAAGGACTTAATGAACAAGTTAGCGATTAGCCAGCCGTTCCCCCTCTGATTCCACTCTATAATCTAAGCTAAACAGTGGCTAGTTGTAGTTTAACTCAGTGCATTTCCTTTAATGGGAGAATATTCCTTTAATCTAAGTAAGATTCAGCAGGATTAGGATTGGGACGGTTGTTGGAAGTCCAAACCTTTTGCAGCAGTGACATGTGCATTTGAGTGTTGCATAAGCTGCTGATATACAGAGTTTATTTAAACTATATCTGACTGGTTATTTTGGAAGCTATTCCTGCCAGATGCTTCAGGCCAATGGCCATCAGACATTGACACTTCTAACCTTTGATTGTAGTCCAATAACTTTTTATATCAAGAGCTCATTTGAAGTTAAACTGCATTTATTTATACAAAGTTATTTATCAGGTATTCTACTCAGAAATAACAGAACCCTTGTCCTGTAATGGATGTATGAACAATCTTATTTTTCAAACCATAATTACAAGAAGATGACCGCAATGCTTGTTTCAGCGATGTTTTCGGTTAAATTATAGTCCACAATGGTTCTTCAGTACGCTGAGTGAATACCTGGTAAACAACATACTGCTATGTGTTGAGGTCTACATGAGGACATTGGCTCGTGTGTCTGGCAGCCGGAGGCCCACCAGCCCGCCGCAGACCAGCACAGACGACGCCAGCAGGATGGGGATGGCCTTGGTGATGCCAACCAGTGAGCCAAAGATCAGGTTGCCCATCACTGCTGCCAGCTTACACATCGCGTTACAGAAGCCAAAACCTGTACCCCTGAAAAACAAGAAGGCAGAGACACAAAAAAGGAGAGGCTCAGATGTTGCTATTTAGTTTTATTTCTGGGAACTTTAAGTAATTGCTGCAAAAAAAATGTTAATGGAGGATAATCCATATTTTAAGTGAGTATATTTTAATGTTTAAAATGTAGATGTTGAAAAGACCGCTTCAATTCAAATCTCCCACATGTAGCCCCCCTTTGAATACCTTAAAATCATGGCAGCTGTCCTAGAGGCCTTGTCATGTTACTCTTGAATAATTGACTGATCTTATTGTCTGAATAAATCTTAAGTGAGAAAGTGACAAAACAACTGCAGAGAACTTTGTCACCCGCACTTTTTAAATTACTTTTTTTTTTTTTTACAATTCAGTTGTTTTAGAGAAATAAGAGAAATGGCACGACCACTAGACTGGATCTGACTTGATGTATTACTGACTGAAATCCAATTTACTGCGCTCATGAGATTTAGTCTAGCTTTTATAACAAAGTATTGGACCAAAGCCTTTTCACAAAAAATATACCATTACTATTGACCATAAGACTCTTGGGCAACAGCTTCAACACGCCAACTTGTCTGTCAGCTGAGCCATGCCCCTAGTTATGTCTGAGTTATAGTGACCGAAAAAGGCTGTAAATATGTTTATTTTTGCTATGCAATGGGCATTTACTACGGGGCTTTCTGTAATGGGGATTCCTTGGCTTTTAAGCCCAGTGGACACTCAAGGAACTGCAGTTTTTTGCATTTCTGCATTTGGTTTATTTTTACTTAAAGTTACTTAAAGTTGTTGTTTGGATTCATGTGTGGATCATTGGTGTGCAGACTGACTATTAAGGCCATTCTTAAAGCACTCATTCTCTTTGATATCTTCTATAAATCCATATTTCTGATAAGGTAAAGATATGAATTCTGTATTCAACTGAAAAGCTTTAAATGCAGTTCATTCATAACAGGTAATGTGACTGCAGCACTTACCTCCTGTCTGTCGGGTAGAGCTCAGTAGTGACCACATCCAGTGAGTTCCAGGCAGAGATACTGAGGCCGTTATAGAGACAGAGCATGAAGATCATCATGGACTCGCTGGTGCCGAACCAGAGGAAGAAGCAGCTGATGCCTGACAGCACCATGGAGCCTCCTGCAGGACACAAACACGACGTCAAAGAAAGCCTCATTTAATTCCCCAGAGGTCTCTACAAATACTTCAGGAAATATAGAAACATTATGCATGGCCCCAAGGAAGAACAAAAATCAGAGGATATCCTGAATAACCAGAGAGGATATTATACAATACCTAACATGCTGAGGCGTCCGATTTTGTCCATGAGGAGTGCAGAGACGATGTTCCCAGGCAGTACAGCCAACGTCCCAAGGAAATTGACAAAGTAGACCCAGTACGCACTGTAATCATCGTCAAACGTCATCTGACAGCCCGTCTTGTTGTGATGGAAGGAGCTGTTGATTATCGTTGAATTAGTTAATTTGGAGTCATCGATGTCTGTGAAGGTGGGAGACGAGAGTGCAGTTTTAGATTTCTGTTTAAATTGTGCATGAATTTTCTATCTTTAAGGCTTCTTTTACTGTAAGATCTAAAAATAGCTCATCCGTTTTTTATTCTGTTGTTTCAGATACTGCTGCAGGGATTTAATGCTCTGGATTCTGTTCTTGCTGCTGCTAATGCTAACAGCTAGCAGTGTTGCAAATCACAAGGGAAGACATTTTTTTATCTTATTGGTAGCCTCAGGACGGACTATAAAATTTCTCCACCTGATGCATGTGTTAAAAAAAAAACCTTAGGCTCAACTTCCAGAGCTTGCAACCCCTTGAATATTGTCAGTATGTAAAGCCCCTGAGTTCCTGCTTTGCCCACAGACTTTGAATTGTGAAAAAGTGGCAGAATTTTAAATCACTTTTTGCCACTCAAGGAAAGTGATTAAATATTAATAGACAACAAAAGTTAAAGACTTCTGCCAGTTGTAGCAGCAGCAGTTTTTGCCAGTCGGGAATTTTTCACCGTGATACCGTGATTAGCCACAGGGTTCTGCTGGATTTTTTTGATCCAGCAGATGTCGCCCTTGAGCACCAGCATGAAACCAAAACAACTTGCGCTGCATTGTTGTGTTAGCATGCTAATGCTAGCGATCTTGATTGTGCTCGTATCTTCACACTGCATGTAAATTTACCTGAAATGAGCGTGATCTAGAAACACAGTTAAGCAGTGAGTACAGTATGTTATTCTTCTTTTCTCTCGTCCCTCAATTAAACAACTTTTATACACGAGGGGAGGAGTCAGCCGGCCGTCCTGGCGATGTAAACAAACTGAAGATAGGACTCTGAAAACTCTGAAAACATCACAGACAGTGGGACTCGGGTGTTACACCCATTGTAGACAGTCATGACTCACAGAGTTATTTTCAGAGGATATACTTGATTTATATTATATTTAAGTGTGAAAAATCACATATAAAGCCTTAGAAGGAAACTAGGCTGCGTCCAAAACCTCATGCTGGTTTTAGCAAAGACTGTATAAAAAGATGGACAACTTGACAGCACCACAAAAGTGAAGCCAAAACATTTTGGGCTGTGGTTCAGATGTAGAGACGGTCGTCTCTTAATCGGAAAGTTGGGGGTTCGATCCCCAGCTCCTGCAGTCTACATGGTAGAAGTATCCTTGGGCAAGACACTTAACTCCAAGTCGCTCCTGCTGCTTTTTCAGCGGTGTGTGAATATGTATAAATGGATTTTATAATGTTGATGGTCACTTTACATGGCAACCTCTGTCATCAGGGTGTGACTGTGTAGGTCTGACCTGTGGTTTAAAAGTGTGTTGAGTAGTCAGAAGACTATAAGTGCTACAAGCTCAAGTCAATTTACTATTTACTGATTGACTTCTTCTATTTGATTGTTCAGACATACATTCTTAACTTCATGCTTGTGCTGCCAATAGTTTATTCTGTGTAATCTGTGTGTCTCTGTCCTACTAAAGCAACGGTTTATTAATAAACTCCAGCAGCTGTAGGAGAACGAACCTCCTCCTCTCTCACCTCTGCTCTCTCTCCCTCCCTCCGTCTGTCTCTCCTCGTTTGTCTTTATCCTCCGCTCGCTCGAGACTCATTGCCGCCGGCAAAGAGACTGCATTTCCCAGGGGGCATTACCAGCAACCTGACGTGCCCTTACTGTTTCCATGTTCAGCTCTTTTCCTGAGTGCTGTGGGGAAATTTTTTTTTTTTTTCCACCCGGTGCTCCCACATGGTCTGAATCAGCTGCACTTTCTCTCTGAACATCCTGCCTCTCTTGTTTTCTTCCTGCCGGTGTTTTTGTCAGCACCAAAATGATTAGACAGCAGCACATACGCTGGGAACAACTGGATGTTTTGAAAGCCGATTGCTGATAGGTTTGTTCCAAATTAGTCAGCAAGTAAAAAGAGAAAACTCACTTCAGCTAGCTTCATGTAGCTGCTCAAAGAATCACATCAGTAACTGGAATTTGTGCGAGCATCTAAAAAACAACACATTCAATAAAAGCCATTATCCCAAGAGTCTTTTTGTAGTTATATATTTCCATTTTCATGAGTCTGCAGCCCAGACTGGCTCAGTTTCTCTGTTAACTACAGTCGCCTGAGTTCAGAAAGGCAATCTGTGCAGGGCCAGAGAGGTCAAGCAGTAATTTAGTGGCATAAAAGCAAAGCCATAAATGCTCCAGCTTTATTCCCCTTTAGCCGGAAGCTTGAACTTCAGACCCAAAATGAACTGTCAGAAAGACACATAGATGCTGAGTGAGACTTATGTGTGAGGTAAAACAGGATTTAAGGCTCTGGATGTTTTTTTTGTAGGTGGAGAGGAGACTCACCTGTGTTGTAAAAGAAGGAGTCTACGATGGTGCAGTTTGTGAAGGAGGATCCAACGGAGGAGACGTCCTCAAAGTAGCAGTTAATGAAAGACGAGTCGATGAATTTCACCGCCTTGAACTTCATACTGATGAACCTGGAAAGAGAAGGAGAGAAGGTAAGAGATGGAGGCGAGCGGCAAACCTCCGCGGTTGAAAAATGAAGCCGATGCGGAAGTGTAAAATCCTGCAGTTCATGGAGTGTCCAGTTGAGGCTGGCTCAAGGAAAACAGGAAGTCACATACACACTACAGGCAAAAAAACAGTTTTTACAGAATAAATTAACATGCTTACAGCCTGGTACAAAAAACACAGTTTGTTTAAAAGCTCCAGCTCTCAGCCTGTCGTTAGGTTGACTGAAAGTAAGGCTGAGACAGGATTTCCAGCATGGCGGCTGCTGCCAATGAGCCTCTGGCGCCCCCTGCTGTAACAGATGGCTGACGCCACTCAGGCTTTGTCCATGTTTACAGTCTATGGATGGCAGCAGTGGAAGAAATTAAAAGACTCAAACAATGGAGCCAAAGAAGCAGCCTTAAAGCTCCTTTGAGGAACTTTTGGTTTGCTTTGATTTTGTCTCCCCCTTGTGTTCAAAGCAGTACTTCTTATCTCTGCGCTGATCTCGTCCTGTCCATGTGTGAGCAGATTTGTCTGGTGAAAACTATCATGATGCTGTCTTTAAACAATCAATCTGATCACTCATTGAGAGTCCTTGCTGTGACTTCAATAATATGATTAAAAAAATAATATTTTAAGTGTGTACAACTGTAAAGTTTAACTTGAACTTCATAGAGTTTGATGTTGATGAGCTCTATAATCAGTTGCATGCTGCTCGACACAGTATCGTGCTTTTGGTCTTGATTCAATCTCTTATTAAACGTGCATTCTGGTCTGCAGTGAGGAGGGAAAAGAACAAAAAATCAATGCATCAATGCATCTTCTCTCTGGCCTTTGTAGAAGAGAGAATCATAACCAGGAGGAGCAGGAAAAGATGTTTGTGTGTGTGTGTGTGTATGGGTGAGACGGAGGGAGAAAGAAGGATGGAAAGAAAAGAAGAAAGAGAGATAAGGCTTTTAATTTCCTGGCGGTGCGGGAGATAAAAGGAGGCAGGATTAATATTACCGGCTGCTGTGTGTTGTTTACGGGAATGAAAAATAGTGCTGCAATGCATGAAAAGAAGCTTTAACCACAGAACTGTGCACGGGCGGAGGCTCACAGGTTTGGATCACAACGTGTTACATTTAAGTAGTTTTTTAATCCTTTTCTGACTCAGAGAAGAAGAAGAAGAGGAGAGTTTTTGTGTTTTTTTTGTACCTGTCGTTTACAAAGGCCCCGTTTCTGTGGATCTGGTTCTCCAGGGTGAAGTTGAAGGTGAAGTCTTCGATGCGTTCGTTGTTGTGGATCTTCACTCTGGACGCGTACTCGTCGGCCTGGAGGTGCTTGATGACGTCCGGGAACCAGACGGAGAGTCCGTAAAACCTGCGCACACAAACATCTTCTGTGGATTAAAAACATGACGTCACTGACTCTGAGTCACCGATTGTTATCACTGACTCCACTTGTGATGCTGGTCTGTTTGAATTCTTCACAATGTCTGACAAAAGGACTCAGTTAGTGTCCATCAGAAGTAACTAAACCATTCATACACATTCAAACACTGCTGACAAAGCAGTGGGAGCAACTTTGGGTTAAGTGTCTTGACCAAGCACACATCGGACATGTGGCTGCAGGAGCTGGGGATTGAACCCCTGACCTTTCCATTATAAGAGGGACCCTGACCGACTCTTGAGCCACAGCCGCCCCGTATATGATATCAGAGGGAAGTTGACCTTTGGGGTATCTATGTCATCACTTTATAATGTTATCATTGTAGACATTTGTTTAGAATTATATAGAATAGAATAGAATAGATGTTTATTGCCATTTGCACAGGTACAGGACAGTACAGGTACATTGGAATTTCTGTGCGTTTCTCCCTGAGTCAGCTTCTACAACAAAAGTTAAAATTATATATACAATAGAAAAGCATTATAAGTAAAGAAAAAAAAAGAGTAGAAAAGTACAAATAAAAAAATAAAAAAATAAAAAAAGTTGTAGTAACAGCTAAGTAAATTAAAATAAACTGTACAGAAGCTATACGCTGTATTAAAGCAAAGATAAAATACAAAAAAAAATAACAAGGGGGAACACTGTACAATGAAATGAAAACATAAATATGTTTTCTTGTCTCTACTTTCTACATCTCTTATTGCACACATCTTTTTCACATTAATAATATATAATAATATATCACAACTTTTGGGTTTTTTGAGAGAAATTGATTCCATCTAAATACCTTCAGCGATCCAAAAAGTGAAGACCTTCCCTCCACTTCTTTCCTGAGATATCACATTTTACAAAAATCTACTCATAAGGTCAGAAGGTCAGACGACCTGAAAACAGGATGTGTCTTCTCTGGTGAGGATAGAAACACAACCTGAAACAAAGTCTGCTATAATAGAATTGAATAAATTACATTTTTTTTGCAGCTTAACACATGGCCTCTCTTGTGTCTCCTTTTGAAAGATTCTCCTTAAGGCTAAAACTTTCAGACACATTCGTATTGTATTTCATTAAAGCATGCCAGCTGAAAGAACGCAGGACGACACCTTCTCTCTAATCGCCTCTCTCTTTCCAATCTCGCCTGTCGACATTCATCAGGAGGACACAAGTGAAGGAGCATCTGCCTCAGTGCTCAACACTTCACTGACACACTGTCATTAAGCTGGAGAGTTAACGGTGACTCGGCAAAGTATCGCCGAGGGCGTACTTAACATGAAGGAAGTGGACAAAAAATAACATTTTAAAAAGAGATTGTGATGAAATATCTCACCCAAAGGACAGAGTGAACCAGACGATAGCCAGTTTTATAGTGTTGTCTTTCACCGGGTAGTCGAAGCATTTCATAAAAGTCGACCAGATCTGTTTAAAAAAAGGGAAAATATTTTTACTCAACTGAAGTAACTCAACCAAAAGAACTTGGGACAAGTCAAAGAGAAATAGTATCTTACTCCTCTGAGCTCAGCCTTGATCTTGAAGAGGACCTTGAGAACCGGGTTGGCTGACTCATTCTGCATCTCCACCAGCTCGTCCAGCTGTTTGGGGATTTTGATCCTGTTCACCTGCAGGGGGAGACACTGATCTGTCACCTGCTGAGGGCACTGCAGCACTGAGGAGGATCTGTGTGTGTGTGTGTGTGTGTGTGTGTGTGCGTGTGTGTGTACTCACAGTGAAGACTCTCTCCGGCTCTCCGCGGGCTCGCATGTTGGTGTCATGGATCTGTTTGAGCACCATCCAGGCCTCGTCATGTTTACCCGTCTGTAGATGGACACATGCTCAATGTTGCTAATGCAAACACACCGGGACCTTATCAGAAGTTATCAAACCTGCCGATCCCTTTTCTGCGTTTTAACTTCAATAGTGCTACTCAGGTTTGCTTTGACGAGAGGGAGGGAGGGGAGGAGAGGAGGGGAAGGGAGAGGAGAGGAGGAGAGTAGAGGATAGGAAGAGGAGAGGAGAGGAGAGGAGAGGAGTGGAGGAGGAGAGGAGGAGAGTAGAGGATAGGAAGAGGAGAGGAGAGGAGTGGAGGAGGAGAGGAGTGGAGGGGGGAGAGGAGAGGAGAGGAGAGAAGAGAAGAGGAGAGGAGAGGAGTGGAGGAGGAGAGGAGTGGAGGGGGGAGAGAGAGGAGAGGAGAGGAGAGGAGAGGAGAGGAGAGGAGAGGAGAGGAGAGGAGAGGAGAAATGAGGAGAAATGAGGAGAGGAGGGGAGGGGAAAGGAAAGGAGAGGAGATTTGAGGAGAGGAGGAGAGTAGAGGATAGGAGAGGAGAGGAGAGGGGAGGAGATTTGAGGAGAGGAGAGGTGGGATCAAATCGACCTACTAGTCCCACTCAATCTAACAAATATAAATCATGTATGTGTGCACAAACAATTGACCGGGTTATGACTGAGAAGGAGAACCTTTATTGTCAAACTACATTAATGACCTCCTTTTTCTTAAGACAAACTATTTTTCTACTTGTTTTTTCAGCTCATTTTTCAGGAGTACTCATCAAGTAACATCAGTCAGTAGCAAAAAGTATGACCTCATGATTATCACTGAGACATTAAAGGATAACTCAACCCCCCAAACACACCTTAACACCTCTAGGAAGGTACCACAAAGTTCTGCTCTGTGATAAATAAACATCAGTACATCTGCTGGCAGGGCAATTTAAAATCACAAAGGTTTCTGATATTTTCTCTGATGTCTCTGAGGATCCTTATCAAAGTCATTAACAGCCTATAATCGAGCTGCTGGCATCACAATACTCTGCGTCTCTCTCTCTCTTACCTCCAGGTAGAAACGGGGGCTCTCAGGCATAAAAGTGAGAGCGACCACAGCAGACACACACGGCAGCGCACACACCACCACAAACACTCTCCAGCTGTGGAACTGGTAGGCCGAGCCCATGCTGAAACTCCAGCCTGCACGGGGGGGGGGGGGGGAGAAAAAAAAATCCAGTTACATGAAAGCAGATAAAACATGAACGAACACTCGATTCACTTTTATGAACTTGTTTTTTTTGTCCCTCAGGTTTTTATGTTTGAAAACGTATCGACAAACGTTGATGATGTTTCTCTGCCACGAGTTTATGAAATTAATTAACCCCGCAGGTCGGCTAACGCCCCGGTGTCAGCGTCCACTGTCCTGTCTTTAATCTCTCTCTCTCTCTTTGTGTCTTTTCTTATTCCTCTCTGTCCTTCTCTCACTGGGATCTTCTTACTAACTCCAACAGAGATGAGAAAAGGAACTGTTTCTCTCTCTGCGTGAAATATCCTTGGAGTAAGTTATCACTGAGGTGTGAATATTTGGTAAAACATATCACGATGCTATAAAGGTTTGATCAACAACAAAGCTCCTAAGGTTGTTAATAGAAACTCACTGTTCACTGTCTATGCTGCATTGGCAGTCTGACTGTATATATATAAATATTTTAGATGGTTTTTTTGAGCTTTTAATGCCTTTATTTGAGATTTGAGAGTCAGAAATTGGGCAGAGAGAGAGAGTGGGGAATGACATGCATGGAAAGAAGCCACAGGCTGGATATCGAACCCAGGCCACCTGCTTAGTGGACTACAGCCTACAGACATGTCCCCTTTTGTTCCAGGCTGTAAACGTGTTTATTTTTGCTGTTAAAATTGTAATTCTTAATATTGGACTAAGGGGGATTCTTTGGCTTTTTGTAGCCAGCCTCAACTGCAGTTTCTTCCACCTTCACGTCGGCTTCATTTTTCTACACTTGAGGTTGCTGCTTGGATTAGAGACGCAAAAGATTAGAAGTCTGAGCATTTCAGCACCATGGAGAGAGACACAGAGGTCCTGAGAGGTCTGCATTTAAAGGCTTTATTCCCAAAAAGGGCAGATGTCTAAAATCATCAGCACAAACACGACTGAAGGCGCTCCTTTTTTTTGGGGAAAAACATTTAACAGGAAGAGCAAAGTTTCTAAGGTAACCGAAATCAAGTGTAATGGGGTTTTCTTAGGGTTTGTTCAGAATTGCAAGCCTTTCGAAACAAAAAAAAAATTGCTAGAAAAAACCAAATGACATCTTGTATTCACTTTATTTACACTGTGTTGTTTAAATGTATGTGGTCATCAGTTTCTGGTTAAATTGCTGTTTAAATAAACGCACAAAGAACCTTTTCAGGATCGATTCATAGCCTGATGTGTTTTTTATAAGTCGGCATTACAATCAAAATGTAATGTAGTTTAAAAGCCTAAAAACTCAAAATATAGTTACTTCCTCCACTGGTAGCTGGAGAGGTGCCAAATCACTTCCTGAGTTCTGCCAACGTGCCCTTAAGCAAGCTTCAGAACCCCAAACATGCATAGGTCCTGTTTGTGCATGTGTGTATTTCAGGCCTATCTGTGCGAGAAGCAATTACATATATATATATATATATATATATATATATATATATATATATTAAAAAACATAAAAGTGCACTTTGCTGATAATGTAAGGGACCGTTTCTGACTTTAATGAGCCTCTTTTTTACAACAAAGGATTTTATTGTGTTAAAATAAAAGCACAGGTGTTGCTACTAAACTTAACAATGGCCGCCTGTGTGCTATCCACAACAACAGCTTTGAAACGAGTCCTCTGAGGCCCGTTAGAAAGTTGGGGAAAAGCTCCAGAAAAAAAACATGACGCTTAGACTGATCTCTTTCAAAGTGAAATCTTAAATGTCATGCAACTGCTTCAGAAATTATTTGTATAAAAAAAAGTAAATCAAAAAAATGTCTTTATGAATTAAATTGAAAGCGTTCTTTGAAAATTGTTTGAGGGAATTTTTCAAGCTTGCAGGTGGTTTGCAGCATTGATCCTGAAGTCTTTTTCTATGTTGAAGGGAAAAAATTTGCTTAATAACAAAAAAAATCTTGAACGTAAGGTTTTTTTCTCCACAGGAGTCCCAGGACACCGTTCATCAACAAGCTGTGAGTAACAACATGTGACGGAGCACTTTAAGTGTGTAATGTGTCTCAAATTCATTCATAGAATCTGTAAACTGTATCACAGAATGTAGTTTTTCATGGACAGAGAAGTGTGTGTGTGTGTGTGTGTGTGTGTGTGTGTGTGGTGTGTGCGCCTGCTCCACCTGTACCAGTACAAACCTCATTAGGGGGATTATAGCTTTAATGGACTGGAGGGGACGGCTGACTGATTCAGATACTCAGCAAGATTTATGTTCCTACTCTACAGTAAGTGAGCACAGCCGAGACACACACACACACACACACACACACACACACCACACACACACACACACACACACACACACACACACACACACACACACACACACACACACACACGCATGCTCTGTCCTTGGTTTCTGTTCAGTGCTGTGAAATTATAGAATAAAGGTATGTGCATGAACACACCCATGCAAAGGAATTCATAAAGAATAAAGCGGCTCATGCTGCAACAAATACATGAGGCACAAGATTCACAAAATATATATCGTCTTATATTTTTACCTCTTTTTCCCTTTAAGCTTTTTTCAGTCACACTGACCTCTCTCCAACTCACCACAGACTAAGATCACCATCGTTTCTGAGGTCACATATAAGGATGCTCAGAGAGGGAGGGGCCGGTCAACACAACAAAATGAAACAATAAAAAATGAAACCAATAAATGAAGTTTAAAAACAATGCTGTGTGCCACATTGGTGCGTCCTCCTCTGGGTTCACTCATGTGCACGCCTTAAACTGGCTTGGACCTGCCATCCACTAAGTCCCCTCATGAGGGTTGTTGGACCAGACCACCAAAGAGAAATGATACCTCACCCTCTCCCTCCACCATAGCCTCGTACCACCGACAGTGGAGCTCTGCCGCCAAACATAAACATGACTCAGACTCTTACCTTTCACACCACAACATGAATACACACAGAGACACATCCACATGTAAAACTTCACACACATAAACCCCCTTTTAAATTCTCCCTCCTAAGACCACCGTACAAAACATACCAGCTCCCCCTTTGCTTTTCTTTCTCTCTTAGTTGTCTTTAATATTTAATCCTGATTGGTTCATATGGTCTTGGCTTGTTGAAGTCTATACTAGTTGATTTTTGGTCTTTACTGTCCTCCTATCTTATTGTTTTGTATCATCTCAAAATAAAAAGAAATGTACCTTTTCTTTTAAACATCACATAGAAAATGCCACACACATGAGCAGACACACACACACACACACACACATGCCTTCACTGTCATTGGCTTGTGTAGAATGCTGTGAAATATTAAAGCAAAGGTATGTGCATGAACACAGATATCTCGCACTGCGACAAAACTCACACACACACACTACTTATAAAAGAAATGAGGATGCACAGTTATATGTCCTCAGAATTGAACAGCTCCTTTATGATGCATGAACACAGCGGACGAAAAGTAATACAGAAAAAAAAATGCACCTTACATACAAAGGATGCACAATTCTATTTTCTTTGAATTTAACTTCTTTTATCTTGGAAAGAGACAAAGTGACACACACACACACACACACACACACACACACTCAGCTCCCTGGCCTTTGTCCACCAGTCAATGCAAAGAGCACTGCGGCGGAACCTATTACCCACACGTCGCTGCGTCCTGCAGAAAAAATGTGTTAGAACACTGGCGTCTAATCAATTGACCTCAATTATGAGCCTCAGCCGGAGCGCTCACACTCGCTCACATGAATAAAGTTTGTGATGAGAGTAAGAGAGACGCACACATAGATCTGAGCAGAGAGCTTTTGAGATGGGAACTTATATCTTTAAATACTTTAAACCAGCTTTGGTGTCCTTCTGAGCCCGTTGACACACACACTATGGAGGACTACAGTCTATTTTTGATACCTATCGACTAATTATTAAAGGAAAATAACCACAGATGACACAATTATTTGACTTTTTTGTGTCTCAGAAAATGTGCAGGGTTGGGAGAGCTATGTTCAAACAAAAAATAGTCTTTGAGAAAATTGTAGCTCGTAAGTTTGGTTAATTATCCAAACAAAAAAGGGATATTGTTTCTGGGTAAAAGATGTTACTCTTAAACCTGCTAATGTGGTTTTATTTTATTACAGTAATTTTTACCTGCATGAAATCAAGATCACAGCTTGGAGGCAAATAAGCGTCATAAAGATTTTGAGCTTTTAAAAAAGTTTTCTAGCTGTAAGAAATATAATGTGCATGTGTAGAAAAAGGTTTTTGTGCACAAAGATATAATTGAAATGTCTCCGTTTGCTACACTTTTTCACACATGCACATAATCTATTCTACACTTACAAAAGACCTTGTGCGCTTTTGCAAATTCTATCTGATTATATCACATTTGATCACATTCAGCATAAGCATGTAGATGTTTACCTGCAAGGAAACCACTGGCACCGCTAACGTTAGCCACATTTAGCAATCCAGTTTGACATTGTTTTGCATTTTTATCAACAACAATCCTACTCTTCTTCTTTATTGTCTCTGTAACTGATATCAGGATTGAGATGGTCGATCAAGTTCAGCTTAATTTATCTAACTGCCACCTAAAAACTGAAGTCAATGTTGAGTTTTAATTGATTATTTTTAGATTTTCTTTTTGAGACAGTGGACAAAGTTGGACATTGGATAAGTGGGGAATGACATGCAGCAAAGGAGCCACAAGTTGGATTCGAACCTGGTCCGCCCGCTTTGAGGGTGCCCCAAGTTTCTTTTTTTTGCTCACATCATGATGTGTGTCTGTTGATTTTTCTTCACATGTTATAAGGAAGTTTTGTCATTGATCTTGTGACTCACCTCTTGATATAAACACTACCTAGTCGAGGCTTGTTGAGTCACACACTCAGGGAATTGTCCCGAAGGCAGCACAGGGAGACCTGATTGGCCGCAGACTCCAGGATCAAACTCCATTATCGCTGATCAACATGGGCCTTTAAAA